GAACTTAATACCTTTATGCTTGGTAGATTTTTAGGAATTCCAGCAACCTAGACTATAATAGATCACTATCCACAGAGACAAAGTCAATAAAACTCCCACATGATGTCCTGATGGACTTTTCTCTGAGATTGTAAAGGACAAAATAGCGGCCTCTGCAGTTAAATAAAACATTATCTCAGCACATAGCAGGTATTTTTTTTGTGTGTGTGTGTGCGTTACGCGGGCCTCTCACTTTTGTGGCCTCTCCCGTTGCGGAGCACAGGCTCCGGACGCGCAGGCTCAGCGGCCATGGCTCACGGGCCCAGCCACTCCGCAGCATGTGGGATCCTCGCGGACCGGGGCACGAACCCATGTACCTTGCATCGGCAGGCGGACTCTCAACCACTGAGCCACCAGGGAAGCCCAGCAGGTACTTTTTAAAATATTGAATGAATTGAATTAATTCATCTGAGAAATCCTAAACTGCAATCAGGAAAGCAAATCTCTGGTGCACGAATATTTTGGAATGTCCAACAAACTAATACGTTTGGTCTTTTTGGAAAAGAAAACAAATTAAAGAAGAAAATAAATATAGTAAAAAATTAAAGTTTCAGAAAATACTGTGGTATATGAAAATAGGAGAAAATAGGGCTTCCCTGGTGGCGCAATGGTTGGGAGTCTGCCTGCTGGTTCAGGGGACACGGGTTCGAGCCCTGGTCCGGGAAGATCCCACATGCCAAGGAGCAACTAGGCCCATGCGCCACAACTGCTGAGTCTGCGTTCTACAGCCCGCAAGCCACAACTGCTGAAGCCCGCTCGCTTAGAGCTGGTGCTCCGCAGCGGGAGAAGCCACCGCAATGAGAAGCCCGTGCACGGCAAGGAAGACCCAACACAGCCAAAAATAAATAAATTAAAATAAAAAAGAAAATAGGAGAAAATAATAATATAGAAAATGGTAATGAAATTTAAAATTGACAAGAAATTAAAGGTAACATAAAAAATTTATTTAAAATATAGGAGTGAAGATTGATGATGAGTAAAAAAAATACAATGTTTAAAGTGTAAGGTAACAGATTAAGAGTTAGCAGAAACTCCAGAAAAGAAGAAACTAAAGTGAAGAATTCAGTTATGAAGGTTTATAAGGAGATTCTTTTTTTTTTTTTTTTTTTGTGGTACGCGGGCCTCTCACTGTTGTGGCCTCTCCCGTTGCGGAGCACAGGCTCCGGACGCGTAGGCCCAGCGGCCATGGCTCACGGACCTAGCCGCTCCGCGTCATGTGGGATCCTCCCGGACCGGGGCACGAACCCGCGTCCCCTGCATCGGCAGGCGGACTCTCAACCACTGCACCACCAGGGAAGCCCTATAAGGAGATTCTTGATGTGTGTCAAAATGTCCTAGCAAATTGTGCCATGGCAGTAGTTAGCATATTTATTTATAAATCAATTTATTTAAGAGATAGTCATTGAATGTGTCTGGGCTAGTCACTGGCATGGGCACTGGAGACACAAAGAGAAATACGGTTGTCCTTGACTTCCAGGAGCCCTCAGTTTTGTAAGATCGTCAAGGAAGCTTACAGTTAACTGCTTTCATTTCCCTTTATCTTTCACTAAGGCCCAACAAGTGTTTATCACTCTTTGGAAGTCTGCAGTTAGGTGAATAGACTTAGGCTCATGTGGGAACTACCAAATTCATTAAATTAAGGCAAAAAAAATCATCCCAATTTTTGAGTGATAAAAAAATATAGTAATATTAATACCATTGTGGGGCTTCCCTGGTGGCGCAGTGGATAAGGCTCCACGCTCCCAATGCAGGGGGACTGGGTTCGATCTCTGGTCAGGGAACTAGGTCCCACATGCATCCGCAACTAAGGAGCCAGCAAGTCACAACTAAGAAGCCCACCTGGCGCAACTAAGACCTGGTATAACCAAATAAATATTAAAAACATAAAAACTGCATATAAAATAATAACAATACCATTTTGACATAGTGCAGAGCTAAGAACAGTCCATAAGGCTGAACTCACACATCTGACACCAACTTCAGGGGTCAGAGGTCTCTCCAAAATTACCCTCAGATTAGATAATTTATTAGAAGGACTCACAGAACTCACTAAAAGCTATTATACTCAAGGTTAGGGTTTATTATAGCAAAAGAACACAAAGCAAAATCAGCAAAGGGAAGAGGCACATGGAGCAGAATCTAGGAGGGTTCCAAACTCAGAGCTTCCGGTAACCCTTTCCCAGTGGAGCCATGGAGTGTTAACAACACCTTCCTGCAACAATGTGTGACAACACAATATGTATCGCCAACTAGGGAAACTCACCCAAGCCTTGGTGTCCAGACTGGATCTTTAGTATCCAGTTCCTCTGGATCTAGTACAGATATGGCATGGCCCAAAGCACCCAACATAAATGATCCTATTACACTATCCAGTGTAGCTCAATGCCTCCTGGTAAACAAAGATAATTCTTATCATGCAGGACATTCCAAGGACCTACAGATCACATTCCATCAAAGGGCAAAGGCCATACCTCCTTGGAGAAGGTTAATTCTGAACAAAGTCATAAGAAAAACTATATTTTTACAATTTTGAATCAGATATCTATCGACTGTAACTTGAGTTCTACAACTATTTGCTTTTTATGATTGTTCTGTCACATATTTCTGCATACTTAGATCAACTGTGAACCCAGAAATTATAAGGAGATTTCTTTTGGAAGACTAATTTTTGTACTTTATTCAGATGAACAACTTCAGCAGTCTTCTCGATTCATACTCCCAACTTCCCTCCAAACCCTAGCTGCAGGAAAGGAAGACTTAGGAGAGGTAGAGTTCAACTTTGGGAAAAGTTTGGGGAAAGTTTCATGTTGGTGGCATGGGCATTTAGTGCTAAATAGAAGAAAAGGCTCCTTTACATGAAAAGCAGCATTTGAGTGGCTCTTCCTTTCATAAACCATGAAATTTGCCATCATGCACAGGGAACAGGAATTGTAGAAAACTAAAGGAGTCATGCTTTAGAATTTTGTTTAAAAGTTTTAACAGTGAATGTTAAGCTGTATTTCTTAAATACAAAACAATATCACAGCCAAATTATAGCTATTTTTTTTAGGAAAGAAGGAGGAGGAGCATGGGTAAAAGAAGAAAGGTGAGAGAAAATGAGGAGTCAGAAAAAGAATGGAAGAAGCAAACTACTACAAAAGGGGGGGAAAGGGCCTAGCGACCAAAGAGAAGCCTATAAAAGACTGTGATAGGAGAGAGGCAGTGGGTGGACAGACTTAGTCATGTGTTTCAGCTGGGTATAATACCTGTTACATAACTGAAATATTCTCCACATTTCTTGGGTTTTAGGTTGAGTGGATTAATTAAAATGGTATCATATCTGGGAGACTTTCTCTGACCAGCAGATGTAAAATGGTACCTCCCTATCCCATTTTTTACTTTTCTCCATTCATTCTTCTTTGTTATACTTAGTACTTATTGACATAAGTTTGTTTATTATTTGTTTCCCCTCCCCATTCTCAAGATTGTAAGCTCATTGGAGCAGGGTTAGTCTTTTTTGCTACTGACTCCCTAATGCCTTGACTGCTTCAGACACAGTAGGCTCTCAGTAACCATTTGCAGCACGACATAATTAATTAATTAATTAAAATACACATACGTCTGCAACAACAGGAATAGAGGCCAGATCTGTTTGTTGAAATGGTTCAATTGAATGAGTGACTCTTCTGGGTCTCACTTTCTTCATCTATACAAGGAGAATAATAATAATGCATTACTTCTTAGAGTTATATTAAGGATTGAGATAATTTGTGTAAAGCTCTTAAAACAGTTATAGTCATTTCATAAGCACTTAGCAGTTGTTAGCAATTGTTATATTTTCCTTAATCTCTGAATTAAATGAAAATCAGAGTGACTAATTCTCTTCAGGTCAAAAACTAAAGGGAGAGAATATAAGCTTTTGAACTATTTGAATTCCACCCCAGTAAGAGTAGTTGGGAGATTTGAAACAAAGATTACATTATTGAGAAATATCTCTTGACTGAGCATGGTTTGAGTCATTACCTGTTGATGCTAATAATGACTAAAATGTAGGTAACACTGGAGCAGAGATTCCTCATAGCACATTATACAAGCGTATGTAAACAGAACCCTCTTCTTTGTATAGCAGATATTAATGTTGATGGCAAAATGGCACCTAATATATAAACCTTTTTTATTTCTTCAATCAGGGGAGAGATATGAGTGCAGAGAAGAAATGAATGCAAACAGTAACTGAAAATGAGAATCTGGCCGTAGAAGTTATGAAGTATGATGTCTGACCTGCCTGAGATGATAGATTAGTGTGTATATCCCACCAAAATCCTACCCATCCTGATTTGCTGCACACTGACTTATCAAAAGGAGATCACTACCCGAGTGGAAGAGCCTAAACAAGGTGTTTTAGCTTTTTCATTTTATTTTTATTTACATTATAAAAACAGAATTTACTTCTGTTACAGGCGTAATTACTGGGAACTCATTATTTACCGTGGACTACCTTTGCTGGGGGAAGTCTGAAAGGATAGCAAAACATTTGTAAATGAGACGCTATATTTAATAAACTCTATGGATAATTGAAATTCCGCTTTCATTGTTGATTCAAATTCTTCTCCTAAGATCTTCCCTTTCTGGACAATTTATTTATATTTCAGTTTATTTTCTGGCATTAAGTTCTGAGTGGGTAAGACCTAAGAACTGTTTTGGCTTTGTTAACGATCTCGAAGGTAAAAACTTAGTTTAGCTAAGCTGACATTTAAGAGGTCACCTTCAACATCTGAATTAAGGGGAACACATTACTTCTCACCTGAAGGATTTTTTTTCTTTTTTTTTTTGGCCGCGCCTCGCGGCTTGCGGGATCTTAGTTCCCCAATCAGGGACTGAACGCGCGCCCTCGGCAGTGAAAGCTCGAAGCTCTAACCATTGGACTGCCAGGGAATTCCCTTGAGGGATTTTTAAAAACAGATTGCTGGGCCCCACCTCACAGTTTCTGTTTCACTAGACCTGGAGTAGGATCCAGTAATTTGCATTTCTAAATTATCAAGGTGGTGCTGATGCTGCTGGTCGGGGATCACACCTAGAGAACTGTGCTTTAAATTACGACTTGGGATGTCCCTGAAATGATACTATCAAACAGCCGCACAAAGCTGAAAAATCACCTTGAGGTTTAAACTGGAAGTGTCAAGTCCTGAAAATTGGCACCTCCTTCCGGTACAGCCACGCAAGGGTGGAAAGAATAACGTTGCGTTCCACGCCCGGCCTCTGTCGGCTCCCGCCCGTAGCCACGCCCACCCACGCAGGGTCTGTCCAAGGGCCGTCCCGCCTCGCCGCTCCACGCCGGCTCCCTCATTGGATCGTCTCACCCAACCTCACGTTCCGCGGCTTCTCCCAGAGCTCCACGTTACGCATACGCCACGTTACGTCACTTCGGCTCCCCCCACCTCCCCGCCGCCCCGGGGGGTCTCCAGTAAGCTGCAGGCTTCCGCCAGCCGCTTACGCGCGCGAGATTTCGCGTGGCAGCCACCTGCTGATGCGCAGGCTTTGCCAACCCAGCTTTTCGCCGCTGGATACTGGAGAGTCCCAACAGTCCATGAGGACATGCGCAGATTAAAACGGGGAACCGAGCAGTTTGAAGACTGAGAAACAGGGCAGCAGCCCTCCGGTAGTTTTTTTGTCCTCTCTCGACTTTTTCTGAGCTGACGCTTTCCCTCATAACTAATCCCCAGGACACCTTCCTTGCACCACCCCTATTTATTATCAACACATTTCTAGGGCACTTTGTGTGAGGATTAAGTGCGTGTATATGTATGTGTGTGTGAATTATTATTACTTCCCACTTGAATAACTATATGTTTTAAATTTCATCTTGAGATGCACGAGGGGCCTACATTTATTAGGCTACGGTAGACACAGACCCTACGGCCCACAGTACTTTTAGAGGCTCACGAAAATATTTTAATTTCTTCTAAAGTCAGAATTAAAAATGAACTTTTAGGTCGATGAAAACGTTCTGTGTAATACTAATATTTTAGTGTTTATATAATTTTAATAATGTTATTATTTTTCTTATAATTTTTACGGAGGAGAGGGCCCAGGAAGGCAAAAGTGCATAGGGCCCGCAAAACATAATGCAGCCCTGGGTGCAGTTTGCACACAACCATCTCCCAGTTATTTACTTAAAATTTTTTTTTCTTTTGGCATACACCTAGACACATTTTCAAGTGCTTTCCAGATGTTCACTCCTTTAATACTCGTAACACACCTATGAACTATTGTTATCCCAATTTTACCCAGATAGACTGAGTCACTTAGAGCTTAAAATAATTTATCCAATGTCATCTAATTAATAAATGGCAAAGGGGATTCTGACCCAAGCAGCTTAGCTCCAGGGTCCCTGCTCTAAACCATTGCACTAGAGACATTATCTCTTGGTAACTCTAAGCAATCCGAATCAATCATAGCAGGTAAAATTTAAAGCAAACTAGCCAGGCTACTTTGAGCCCTCTTCTTGCCTTTGCCTACAAAGATTTGAACAAATGCTTAATATAGTTTCTGACAGCTCAAGGTCTGATGATCCTAGCCTCTCTTAGGTTCCCTGCCCCACTATTTCTTTTTTCTTTCTTTTCTTTTTCATTTGTTTTATTTTGTTTCGGAGAATCATCTTCACTATTTTTGCTCATTAACATGAATTTTACAGTGCTTTACCAAAAATACAGTGCTGTTTTGTGGCATAACATTGAATTTTTAGCTTATTTTTGAGTTTATGAACATTTTAGCATATTGAGTCATCACAAAACAAACATAGTGTAGTGTATATCTCTTAATTTGAGTGAATCTTGTTTTGTATCCTCAAATCGCATTTCATAGTTTTATTCATACAGATGTGGAATATTTTTTCCTGGACTTAGAACCCTTAGAAAGTGTTGTTCTGTTGTAAATGATTTCTGGTTTTTCTGTTTCAGTTCCAGAAAGGCCATGAATTTTTATGTGGTGCTCATGTAGCAACCAACGCTCTTAAGCTCTGTAAGGTCTAATTGTTTGTTCATAGATTTTCATGAATTTTTATAATGACTTATTATTGTCAGACAATAAAGATAACATCTTTTCTTGTTGCATCCTTACCCTTCTTACTTGTACTTGTCTCATGGTATTGGCCAGACCCTTGGTGCCATATTGAATAGGAGTAGTACCACCAAACTTTTGTCTTTCTTTTGACTCTTTGGGAATCATTCTAAAATTACACTATTAAATGTTGTGCTCACTGTAGCTACTCCTTATGAAGTAAGTAGCTACTCCTTATTCTTCTAGTTTGGTAAAAATGTTTATAAAGGCAGAGTGTCATATTCTAACAAATATTTTCCCAGTATCTATGCAAATGATAACAGTTTTTCTCTATTAATTTCTTACACTGGCAGATTTGATGTTAAACTTTTCCTCCATCCTTGGAATAAACCCTATAAGATATAATATTTTTTTTTAATAATATGGTCTCTTGGTTTCCATTTGCTTGCATTTCAAATAGAGCTTTTTTAAAAAAAAACATGAATTTCATGAGTAAAGTGAGACTATAATTTTCTCTTGTCTCTCTCTTCCTTTCTCCCTTTGTTTTAGGCCTGTGTTGTTCCTGTCCAGTTTAGGTAAGTGTACACAATTGCAAAAGAAAAAAAAGGAGAGCTATTTTTCTATTGAAATGGCTTCTGTAAAATAGGGATTATCAATTACTTAAATTCATTAATACCTGTAAAACCCAGTTATGCTTGATATCATTTAGATTGAAGAGTACAGGAGAGTTTTTTTTTAACTGCCTGTCATATTTCCATAATCATAACTTGTTTATTCAACCCGTTACTTAATTTTTTTCTTGAAAATTATCCTTTTCTGTTAAGTTTAATTTTTTGTAAAAGTTATTCATAGCATTCTTGTGGTTCTTTATATCTCTTTTTTGGTAGCTACTTTCCCTTTTCTATTCCTATGATTTATTCACACACACACTCTCTTTTTTCCTCATTAGTTTTTCTAGATGTTTGTCTATTGTTGTAAGGTTTTTCAAAGAACAAGCTTGTGGTTTATGGATTATCTCCATTTTTTTCTTTAATTTTTTTTTTTTAAATTTCAGGTCAGGGTTGACATATTTAAAATAATATGTCAGTGTGAAAATCCATGAGAATCTATAAACAATGAGATCTAATAAGAGCTCAAGAGGGTTAGTAAATATGTGCACCACATAAAAATTCATGACCTTTCTATATATTAGCAATGACCTATCTGGAATTGAAATAGAACATCATTCACAACAGTACAACACATTCTAAGAATTCTAAGGCTGATTCTTTCTACTTTGATTTATTTTCCTGTTCTTTTTTTAGCTTTTTTTGTTGAACATCTGGTTTGCATATCTTTAGTGTTTCTTGTTCCTTAATATATGTATATAATATTATATATTTCCCTTTTAGTACAGCTTCAGATACATCCAACAAATTTTATATGTATTATTCTCATTCTTATTTATCTCATAATATTACATAATTTCCCTGATGATATTCTAATCCATGGTATTTAGAAGTGCACTTTTAGTTTCCAAGCATATGGGAAGATTGTTTTATTTTTACTACCTTAAAAATATATTTTCTATTGCTCTTTAATTAGCTGATAAAAGAGTGCCGTATATATGAAACTGTTTTTTTTGTATCCATTGTGACTTTTTCTAAACTCGGTGATGAATTTTTGAAATTATTAAATGTGTGCTTTTAAAAATTGGACAATCTCTTTGTGTTAAGTGCAGGAATCACAGATAGATCAAGTTTGTTCATTGTGTTGTCCAAATCTTCTATAACCATACCTGTTTTTCTTTGCTTGTTATGTGAATTTATAAGAGTAGTATAGGAAAGCTTGCCCTACAGCTGTAAACTTGAAGTTCTCTTGCTAATTCTTCCAGTTGTTGCTTATATAGTTAGTGGTTGTGTGGTCAGGTGCATATAAGGTCCTGAATGTTACATCTTATCAGTGGATTTTTATTTTATCATTATGAAATATCGCTCTTTTTTATTTCTAGTTCTATTTTATTATTTTTTTTAATTTAGCCTGGTTTTGATGGTCCCTTGTTCCTTGATTGTATTATTACATTTTTATTTCTTCAAACTTCCAGTAAATAGTTATTTTATAGTCTCTGGTAATTTCAGTATCTGAAATTCACTGGCCGAGGGAAAGAGAGGCAATCTAAGGCTCTTCTTTGTTTGGATGCCTGACCCTCCACAGTGTCTGTTTTCTTTGATTTGACAACATTTACTATAAGCTTATATTTGGACATTCCAAGTTCCTGGTAGAATGCCTGGCACGTAACAGATGCTAAATAATTACTGAATAAATAAATCACAATCAATCTGTGTACAGTATATCTAGAGAACTTGGGTTCACGAAGCTTCCTTCCTGAAGTGGTTTATGTTTGCCTTCACAAGTCACTAGGAGGCGCTATGAACCTAGGTTACTAATTTCAGGAAGCTTTCACCGAAACACGGTAGGGGCGGGGGGGGGGGGGGGGGGGGGGGCGGAAGGTTGGGGAGCCTGAGGAATGTCAGGAAAAAATGTCAAATTCAGGGAGGACACCTCTCTGCAGAAAGGAAAGATGGTACTGAAAGGACTAACTAAGAAGCCGGTTTCAGACGAAGATGATGATGGTGATGGTAATAATAATAATAAATTTAAAATAAATGTGTTAAACACCGGATTCTTAATTTTTAGTAAGTTTTTGGGGGTTTTGTTTGTTTTATCATTTCACTAGTTAGACTGAAGAACTATTTCTGACCCTCCTTTGTGGCTAAACTGGATGTGATTTGCTCCTTTCCAATTCGAAGGTTTATAGCCATATAGGCTACGAAATTCTTTTCTTTCTTATCTCCCTTCAAGTGATGTAATTTTATTTCCCTGCCCTTTGTTTTTACGCTGTATTTCTGCATTTTCTGTACAGTGGGAAACACTGTACTCGGAATTGTCTGGATCACCGCCTATTTTTTCTCAGTTCTTCCTTTCCCTCTCACTGGATTCAAATGTAAAGATACAGCTTTTCCAGGAGCTTACGTAAACGGGCCTTGCAAATCAGAGACTAACCTTGCCACGAGCTTTGCCTCCTTGATATTTCAAAACACTGGAGAGAGTTACTTCTAGTTTTTAAAATTAACAAACTAATCTGAATTGTTATAAACGAATCAGAACTGATTATAAAATAGGTTAACTAGATTAAAGAAGGTGGCCTGATTGCTGGAAAACTGTCTCAGGATATGACCAGTGAGACAGTATATCTGGAATGATTTATTTGCGTGCAGACCTCAAGACGAACGAATCAGCGATTGCATAACTAAGTCTTCATTTGCATAACGTTGTCTACAGATAAGCAGGATCCGGTGGAACGGACACCGTTTTCTGTTCTTTCAGAAGACATCGACGGTACAATGCCTGAACTAGTGAAGTCTCTGGCCCCAAAGAAGGGCTCCAAGAAGGCGGTGACCAAGGCCCAGGAAAGAGATGGGAAGAAGCACAAGTGTAGCCGTAAGGAGAGCTACTCCGTGTACGTGTACAAGGTGCTGAATCAGGGCCACCCGGACCCCGGCATCTGGTGCAAGGCCATGGGTATCATGAACTCGTTCGTCAGTGACATCTTGGAGCGCATCGCGGGAGAAGCGTCGCGCCTGGCGCATTACAACAAGCGCTCGACCATCACTTCCAGAGAGATCCAGACGGCCGTGCGCCTGCTGCTGCCCGGAGAGCTGGCCAAGCACGGTGTGTCCGGGGGTACCAAGGCTGTCACCAAGTATACCAGCTCCAAGTAAATGTTTATAGCCACTTTTCAGAGCCATTTCACGTTTTCACAATCAGAGCTGCGCACTAGCTTGTGCGGTTTCGTGAACTCTGGGATTTAAATTAGTGTCAGGGGTAACGCTTAGCAAAGTACTTAAAAAGCAAGAGATCCTCGGGTGGCAAATCTACTGTATATGGTTTCTGACAACTGTTCCGCGTACGAGGGTTCCCAACGGCTAAAGCGAACGTGCACTGAAACCACTTAGTGCTAACCCCAATCCTTGGAGCTCTAGGTCACCTTTATAAAATTTGTACAGGGTGCTCTCTGGGCTGGAATCGGTGCTTTGTGAAGCTCTGGTCTTGGTTTTATGTAAAGCGTCAGGCTGTAACGTCCAGGAGACCACAGTTATGTTTGAAAATCCCACCGTCTAAAACCGGAACTTTCTTAGTATGACTTTGGAGGGTCTTCCGCCTAGGTTCATTTGTGTGGATCTAATTCCTTTTCCTCACACTCCCTCACCCCCAGCCCTTTGCCTAGGGCTTTCAAGTCCTGGCTGAACATTTTATCTAAGATTCTTTACAAGCATATTATGTTGGGTGGCTGCAGCTCTCCAGTAAGGGGAAAATAGTTACAAACTTTTTATTTTCTTTTATCTCTTTCCTGGTCATTAGATTTTTGTTTGAAGAATGCAGTCTTCTCCCCACTCTCCTGACTCGTTTTACAAACTAGACCTGTAAAATTCACAGAATTCTGTATTCAGCCGCCTGTCTTCACACTAGAGTAGCCACATAATATAAAGATTGGCTCTGCCGCCTCCAATCTGTCCTTTTCTGTCCCTGGTGAGCTCCCTTCTGAGCCCATCGCCCTATCCTGCCTCCATATCTCCTCCCTCTGCTCGGTTCAGAAACTGTGGAGGGATCCTGGCAAGGAAGAAGAGAGGGACCCAGGGTCGGCTCAGAACGCAGAGAGGAAGAACTGTGGAAGTAGAGATGCTTTTTAATGTTGTGAGCTGAACACTAAGGTTTGGAAGCCTACGGTTTGTGATCGCATAGTGCCCAAGAGATTAAACCCCGGGAAATAAAGAGCAGGGCTCTTCCCTCATTTCTCCAGAAACTGCAAGGTAGAGGTGTCCTTCAGGAAGTCAGGTGAAAAAGGTTCAGTTGAGGGCACTTCACCCATAAATGGAAATGCCAAATCCACCCAAGCATTGCTATCAGTGTCCTTGAGAAACACTCATAGCCAGCCTCCAGGGCCAGTCTATCTGGTCTCCATTTTATTGTCTCAAAAAGGTAAATAATAAAATAAGCACGAAGATACAAACAAGTCTTTATTTTCAGGTTACTGAATTACGATTCGACTGTTTCTGATCACCTTGACTTTAGTCTGAGGTAATTCTGAAACTCCTCTGTTCATAGGGTATTTAGTTTCCATTCCAGAGTCACCGTGAGGGCTTTTTGTTTTTTACCTGCTCACAGCCTTTGGATAATCACCCACCTCACAAAAATCAAAAATCTGTGCTATGGCCCCAAGCCCTGAAAAGTCTGGCCCTCACCTAACTCTCCAACCCAACCTCAGAGGATTCTTTTTCTCCCTTTTGTTTTGTGTTTCTTCATTGTTTTTTGGTTGTTTGGTTTTTTTTCCAGGGCTTTGCTGTTTTTCTCTGTCTGAAATGCCCCTGATTCCACATCCATCCCCAGCACACACACATTTATTGATCAACAACTTCAATTTCAGCTTAATCATTATTATATCCTTGGGGAAGCTGGCCTCCATTGTTAAAGGCTCTCACAGTCACAAACAACTGGATGTATACCCAGCCCCCCAAATTAATCATTACTAAGGGGACATGGGACCCTTAGGATTGATGTGGTTGAATCAGAACCCCATTCCTGAGGCTAAGAGAGGGACTCTGCCTTCCCTGGAGCACAAGACAGGGAGGAAAGGGACACCTCAACAAAATTGAGTCTATATTAGAAAGGAAGAGGGCAAATGACTTTTGGCAAGGCACTTGCACTGCCTGATGTAAGGGCCTTCTAGACAGACAGAAGGAGCATCCACCAAGTTCATTCATATTCAACTGCCAAGCACTAAATTAGGTACTGAGGACATAAAGCAGTTGAGTGTGCATCAGAATCACCCAGAGGGCTTGTTAAAGGACAGATTGCTGGTCCCATTCCCAAGTTTCTGTTTCATTAGCTCTGGGGGAGATCTGAGAACTCGGCATACTAAAAAGTGCCCAGCAGATACAGTGCTGCTTATTTGGTAGGAGGCTTTGAGAACATCTAATATATGGCGAAGAACAAGCTACCAAAGCCCCTGCCCACATGAGATTCCTGGTGGCAAAGATAAGTGTATGATAGAAGAAGGTGAAGGGTGTAGATGTCAAACAATGAAGTTTAAATTTATTTTGGAGATGACAAAAATTTATAGAAAGCTTCTGAGCAGGGACTGACATAATTGGCTCCAGTGTTAGGAAGGTGTCTCTAATGGCAGTAGAGAAGCGATTCCATTCAGTATTTTGTCAAATATTGATTGGATTTCCTCTGTGAGAGGCCTTAGTTACAGCGGTGAGACAGACAGGCTGATCTTCTGGGGCTGATATCCAAATGGGAGGAGAGAGATAATCAACACGTTGATAACTCAGCAAGATATTTCAAATAGAAGTTCTGAGGCCTGTGAAATTATTTGAAATAAAACCACGTGCTGTGATAGTAACTACGTGATGCTTTAGATAAGGGAACCCACAACCCAGGGAATAAAAGTTCCAGGCCAAGGCAGGGAGGAGTTTGTGCTCAAGGAATATAAGGTCTGTATGCTAGGAGATTAGTAAGGTAAAGGGGTAAAAATGAGGCTGGGGATTAAACAGGTACTTGAACATGTTGGACCTTATAGGCCAAAAGAAGGCACCCAGATTCTTATTGTGTCATGGGAAACTCTTAGAATTTTTAATAACTCTAGCCACTATGGGGAGAATGAATTTTATGGGATTAAAAGTAGAAAGAAGCAGGGAATAAAATTGAAGGCTTATTGCAATAATTCTGGTGAAATTATTAGATTTAGGAGGAGAAAGTCAAAAGGATTTATTGAAGAGTTAGGTTTTATGGGTGAAGAATCAAGTAGCTAACATTTGTTGAGCCCTTTATATGTTTAGGAAACTATGCCAAGCTCTTTAGAAACATAAACTCACTTCATCTGCTCAACATACACATTATCTAGATGCAACTTTTCTCTCCTTTTAATTGAGCAAAGTGTGGGGCTGGTGTTAGACCCAAGGCAGTGTGGCTCCAGAGGTTCTGTGCTTATCTACTGCCCTGCAGTGCTAATAAAGTTCTTGGATAATCAAGAATTCTAGGAGAGGATGAGTTTTCTGAGACTGGAACATGACAATTTTTAAATCCCCTTAGCAACTCCATTGTAGATATCAAGTGAGTAGTTGTATATGTGAGTTTGGAATTCAAAGGCAAATGGGGACTGGACATAGAAATTTTTGAAAATTTTGGAAATAGATATTTTAATGTCAGCATGGCATGAGATTGGAGATTACCCATGGATGAAGAATAAAGAAGTGAGTTTATCCTGGAGGCATTCCAAACTTTAGAGAAAAAGAGACAGCAAAAGATTCTAAAGAGTGACAAGTGAGTTTGGGAGAAAATCAGGAGAGCGGAGTCAAAAAAGTCAAGAAAATAATGTATTTCACCAAGGAGGACATGACCAAGTTGGTGTGATGTCTAGAAGGCTAAGAACAAACATGAGCTTTGGATATAGTTAATAGAGATCCCTGGGAACTCGGGTTATGGGACTGAAGGGCGGCCCAGACACCATCTGGGACAACTTCAGTACTCAATTATTACTTCTTTCCTAGGAACAGCTCCACTCAGGGCTGAGCGCCATGTGTGGCCATTATGTTTTTACCCTCTGTCTTGGGCCATCATATTTGATCGATGCAGGCATCTGCCCAGCTGGATCAATCAGATTTGTTTTCCTAGAAATTAGGAAAAGTAACTGAAGAAAAAGATAGGACCGAGTATTCACTAATTGCTTAAGTGTGGTCAGCAAACTTAACTTTCAAGAGAATTTTTTTTTGTTTAAATAATCTGGAATTGTTTTTTTTTTATGTTTACATCCAAAAGAACTTCCATTAATGCACTTGCAACTTCTTAAGAATATATGTAAACTATATTTGTTAAACATATGCATAAACACATAATCCTATGTTTTCACTCAGTCCTCACGAAACATTACAGTCCTCACGCCTACATTACAGATAAGGGAACAGTGGTTAGTAATTTACCACAGACCACAAAGATAGAAAATGGTAATTCAAGACTTCAAGTGTATGTCTTCATGGTTCAAAATGCCACTTTCTTTTTCTCTGGACCTCTGAGAAATGTCATGAGAAATAAGAATGCTTATAATAGCAATAATAATAGCCCAAACATGGAGCATTAACCATGTGCCATGCACTGGCCAAAATGCTTAACAAATATTTAATGTTATTCACCCCCAAACATGTAAGATAGGAACTACTGTTATCTCCATTTATGAGGAAACAGAGGCATAGAGCGGTTGGTTAAGACACAGAGACAAAGAATAAGCATCCCTCTGTACAAGCTTTCCAGCTCCTTTTTATCTCTGAAAAGGGGTATTGGGAATGTTTCTTGTAAACTTAATAAATGATTTATTCAATGACATAGACCCTGTTGAATATATTTATCAAGACTAGCAATGGAAGACAAGCTCAATGGGCCTTAAGAAGAAATTCATGGACTTCCTCCTTAATCAGGCTAAAAAATAAACACCCCACTGTTTTAATTTACTTTTAAATCTCATGAGATACAGTCATTTTGGGCCTTCAGGCCTCTGAGAATCAAAATTTTTCCAAATGGGCTATCTTGCATTCTGAGTTATGAAGTGTTAAGACCTGATCTAACTTCTCGAGAATATATAGGTCTATTGCACATAGTGAATAAATGGTGACAAATTTACTCTTTTTCAATGTGTTCTTTATGCATTTTGTCTGCCCTTTCCTCTCTAGCCTTAAATTTTGGATCTTTACACCTCAGACTCTAAAATCCTAGACTCCAAGCTGTTGACAGGAATCCATGGAGCTCTGGGAATTCCTTTTATGAGCCCCATGAAATATCTATCTATGTCCAATATGTGTACTTTTTACCAGTTTCTCAAAGGAGCTTCTGATCCACATGTTGTTAAGAACTACTCTCCTCGGGGAAACAGTACTCTGAAATATCCAGATTACAACTGCTTAAGACATATGGATAGCCCGCCCACCCGTCTCTAACATGTAATGAGCCCCTATTCTGTGTTCTGTCTAGCATGGAACACAGTGGAAGAGATGTCAAGGAGAGAGGCTCACTTGGCATTAGCTTTCTTTGAAAGAGCTTTCTGGCCAATGGAAGGACAGTCATACTGGTAAATAAGTTGAGAAAACCGTATTTGGTATGATAAAGTTAAGTTGCTGTAACAGAGACTCAAAAATAAGTTAGCTTAAAGACAGTCTTGTTCATGGAACAGATACACCATGATTAGTCCAGCTCTGTGAGGCAGCTCTGCCCCTCCTGATCAATCAGGAACTCTTGTTCCTTACAAGTCATTGTTCTGCCACCCCTAGAGCCTGATGGTCTCTGCTGGGTCAAACAAGATCAGCACCTTCATAGCTGGCAGGAAGAGGAAAGGTTTTAAAGCCTGGGAGTGTCTTCTACTTACACTCCAAAAAGAGCACTTAGTCACATACTCCCGTCTGCTCCCGGACAAGCCAGCAATGTTATCTCACACTAGGGAGCCACCTGTCCAGCTATACCTTATTATAATACAGTGAACCACTTTCACTGGAAAGAAATACCAGTTGTATCACAATAAACCAAGATGTTTTCACAGAATAAAGACCATTCTGAGGACACCAAAGAATACAGTGGCATGCTGACAATCCTGAGAGACTGTAGAAAGTTTACAGTAGGTAAGAAAAGGAAATGGGTAACCCACTTGAGAACTGCTCATTTTGCCTTATTTCCTGATGTGTAGAGAACAAGGTGGGATTTGACTCAGGAAGACCTGGATTTGAAGGCCCAGTCCAGCACTTTTTGTCAGGATACATGTTATGCAACTCTCATCTATAATTTAAGGTAAATGTGCTTGTAATCAAGTCTAAGAATATTCAAGATAAAGAATCAACATAAGTTGGTAAACATAAACCTGTATATTTATATCAAGCATTTATATCAACCTTAATAAAAGCTTATTTTGGATTGAGAAACCAGTAGCTTTGGACATGGGAAGACAGCTCAGAGAAGCAGAGACAAGTTGTCCTGTCTCCATTCCACTTTTAAATAAGAAACGCCAAGTACTCTTTTATTTTACTTAAGTATAGTTGATTCACAATGTTAATTTCCAAGTACTCTTATTGTTTCTCTGGTAGAACTTGACTGCCTTCGACATATTTTATGTTGATTGATCATCCCCCTTTCTCCTCCACCATTTATCATGTGATATCCAAGAAGGCAGACTGTTTTAATGTCTCCAGCCCACAGAAGTGTCTACGTTCCATTTTCCTAGCATCAGGGTTTACCTCTTACCTCTTCTGTGATGTTCTCCACCTTTTTTCACTGACAGTTGTGCAAAATGTCATCTGCAGTTTACTGTCCTGTTGGTCTCCTAGCTATAAGCACACTAAATACATTGAATATACAGTTCGACCTGAGGTTATGGACCAGCTTTAGCGACCTACCTGAAACATACAAAAAAAAAATCAGATAAAATCAACTTAAATTTACAGATTGTAAACAGTACTTGACCTAAACATCTTAACAAAATATTAGAAAGCGCAAAACTCTTTTGAGTGAAAGAATAGGTGGCCCTGAAAAGGGCCTTTGGTTTTAGTAGGCTCAGGGAGATGGCCAACAGGAGTTCAGCCGCCAAAGCCATAAAGAGTGCGGCCCTGCCGCTTGAGCGCGTAGACCACGTCCATGGCGGTGACAGTCTTGCGCTTGGCGTGCTCAGTGTAGGTTACAGCGTCCCGGATCACGTTCTCCAGAAACACTTTCAACACCCCACGGGTCTCCTCGTAGATAAGACCAGAGATACGCTTGACGCCACCGCGTCGGGCTAAGCGACGGATAGCAGGCTTAGTGATGCCCTGGATATTATCTCGCAGAACTTTGCGGTGGCGCTTGGCGCCACCCTTCCCCAGCCCCTTTCCACCTTTACCACGCCCAGACATCACGAAAGTACAGCAATCACACCCGCAGCGAAGTGATCTCCACAGCGCCACTTAGGCGTTTTATAGTAATGTGACGGACCTGTTTGAAAACTGCAAGAGCAGGGGCGGTGACCACATTCAGTTCCCACCCTTCGCTTATTTGTCCCTTGCTCAGAGCTGTGGCAACTATGAGGGGCGCCTGAAGCGACAGTGGATCCTGGAGTTGGGATTTAATAAATGCTCCTATATATGGGTACGTGTGTTTGTGCATCCGTACAATACGGGCAGCCGTTAAGTGGGGCAACAGATCATACACTTTCCACAAAGAAGCCTGATACTTGTTCTTCAGTCTTTCCAAAATATGAAATAATCAGTTAGTACACGCTGTTGTCCCTTATAAAATACTTTAAATACGGTTTTAAATAAATCATATCTTTATTGTTTAAGCTTCCATTAGTTTTGTCCCTTTATGTTTGGTTAACTAAGCAGAGCTCTTTGGTATGCAGGCTGCATGACCCCATAGAGGGAACTAAAAATATAAGAAGGTTACACGTTTAAGAGGTCAAGTCAGGTTAAAAATCACTGAGCGCTACATTGGAGATTTATAAATATGTATATCCCAAAGTGATAAAAACCTTGTTCTGCTGTAAGTCTAAGATTTATGGTTTGATTATATATTTAATTGTGGACAGTTTGTATCTGGCATTGTATCTGTCACTGCATTCTATTTCTGCAACCAGGTGGCATTACAGTGTCCGGTCAAGCTCTGGAGACAGCCTTCTCTACATACTAACTTGTGACCTTGGGCAGCTTACACTCAGTTTTTTTCCTTTCATCGATAAATGTATAAGAAAGTGTAAATTATAGAGCACTTGAATTTAAAAGAGATAATCCAAATTGCTTAAAATAATATCTGTAAATAAGTAATCACTCAGCATTTTTTATCATGACATATTATAGTGTCATGTCTGCTCCCAACTCCTCCACTCAAGATTCACTCCTCTAAAGTGAAAGTCTAAGTGATTATCTAATTTACTAAAACCTTCTTTTTGAGGACTCCTCAAAATAATAAATACCTAAAGATTTAATTTATGGTTAATTCCCTTGAGTTCCAGCTGACTTGGATAGCTTTGGCTTTTTCTCCATGGTCTGTGAAGAGGCCCAAGTTCATCAAAGCAGTTCCATGAGTTTACACTGCACAGAAACAAATTCCAGAATGGCGTTCTTAACCTGGGCTATATAGATGGATTCAGAGCATCTGTAAACTTGTATTGAGCAAAACCTCTCTCTTTGTCTTTACTTTATACTCCAAGTGAACCTTAGCATTTCCTCCACTTGTGAATGCAGGCAACAAACAGTGTGAGTGGCAGGACCTGTGCTATATTCATAACCATGTTGCAGTTGCAGCCGTCAATATCTCAATCTCTAATATTGTTTAAATATATTACACCTTCTAAACTGTAGTAATTCTTGGTCATATGGGTAATCTTGTTATTTAATGTATTAATAAAGAAGCACATGTTAATACTTCACCAATTTGGATTTTTGATAATGGTATTTTAATACAACTGTTTTCCTTTGTAATCCTATGTATATTATCTTAAGCACTGAAAAGCATTATTCTGGGAAGGGACTCATAAGGTTTATCAGAAATACAAAGAAGTCCATGGCTGCTTCAAAATAAACATATGTTAAAGACAAACAGTCTGAGGCCTGAAGAAGAAAATCAAAGCACTTTCTACCATCAATCTATTTCCTACTGAACATAACGCATAACCTATAATGTGTTTCCTATAAACCTATATCCTTGCTTAAATAAGAAATGTAGTAATGAATATAAATGCTTTTCAATTTCCCTCTCTTAAGGGAATTCTATATAAGTATGTGTGGGAGTATTGTGCGTGTGTATATTCCTTAATTCTTTTACTTGGATACTTTGCCAAAGTTTATCTTCCAAAGCATGACAGAACCCTGAACCCAAGAGCTTGTGAACATTTTAATAACTGATCCTTCCTAATAAAGTCAATGTAAATAAGTGAATCTTTAAAGCCCCATAAAGCGGTCCAACTCTATTTTATGACTGTACCTGGACCTCCTCTGCCATCAGCTAGTGCAACACAAGCCCAACTACCAGGTCAAGAGGATCATTGATTATTGCTTTTGCTATTTTCCTACATAAATTTTGAATGCTTAAAGCCCCCAAATTAACTAACCCTCTAAATAGTCACAAAAAGCTATGATAAAACTTTTCCAAACTAAATAATGACTTTTCTTATCAGATATTGCTGTTATTCCAAGCAGCCTTTACTACAGTTCTTGTACAGAAATCCTGAAAGAACCTGTGTTATTTCTCCTCATATGAAACAGATTTTCCAGGTAAATGTCAATGAGAATCAAGCAGTTGTTGAAGGCATGAAAAGCCAAGAATGTATAGAACGTCCCTTGAGAGCAAGCTATTGAAGACATAAAGAGAAGAATTTATATTTTAAACGAAACTCAAAAAGTTGTCTCTCTGACCTGTGAATCTGTAGGAGTGTCGGGGGATTTTGAAAAAGGCTGAGACCAAAGTGATAAAAACTGGAAGAAGAAACTGTAAAGGTCTCAAAGCTTGAGCTGTCCCGGTTCATTGTAGAATATAACTGGTGTGGTTCGGCCACAGGAGATTTTTAATTTTTTGCTTTCCTGAACTGTAACAAACACAACTCCGAGACAGAGCTGAGACTAGGTTGCTTTCAAGCTGGAAGCCAGCTGGGAACCAATCAGCGCGCAGTGGCGCTGTGTGTATATGTAACACACACATTCTCGGTCTGGGTACTCAACTCTGAGTCTTTAATTTTTTACTGTTAGGCATCTACACCAACAACCATGTCTGAAACCGTACCTGCTGCGCCTCCTGTTACTTCTGCGGAAAAGACGCCTGTGAAGAAGAAGGCTCGCAAGTCTGCCGGTGCCGTGAAGCGCAAGGCGTCCAGGCCCCCGGTATCCGAGCTCATCATCAAGGCTGTCAGCAATTCCAAGGAGCGCAGCGGCGTGTCCCTGGCTGCGCTCAAGAAGGCGCTGGCAGCTGGCGGCTACGACGTGGAGAAGAACAACAGTCGGATCAAGCTGGGTCTCAAGAGCCTGGTGAGTAAGGGCACCCTGGTGCAGACCAAGGGCACTGGCGCCTCGGGCTCTTTCAAGCTCAACAAGAAGTCGGCCACCGGGGAAGCCAAGCCCAAAGCCGAGAAAGCGAGCGCGACCAACCCCAAGAAGGCTACTGGGGCAAAGAAGCCCAAGAAGGCCACAGGCGCTGCCAGTCCGAAAAAAACCGCTAAGAAGACCCCGAAGGCAAAGAAACCATTAGCAGGCACCGGGGCCAAGAAAGTGGTCAAGAGCCCGAAAAAGGTGAAGACAGCCAGACCGAAGATAGTCAAGAGTCCAGCCAAGGCCAGAATTCATAAGCACAAGGTAGCCAAGCTTAAAGCGGTCAAGCCAAAAAAGGCGGCCCCCAAAAAGAAGTAAGAAAAAAAGACTTGAGTACCTTAAAGGCTCTTTTCAGACCCACCCAATTAATCTTAAAGAACTTGTAACACCATTTTTGCCGGAGGCGGAGGTTGGGAGGAGCGGTTTTATTTCCTCGCTCGGAATGCAGGTCCCCAGCGCACAGGAATCTTTCACAGAAAAGGTGGTTGGCCCTGAAAAGAGTCTTTGGGTTTTTCAGAGGTTGGCACTTAATCGGGAGAAACAAATCTACGCCCTCTCCCCGCGGATGCGGCGGGCCAAGTGGATGTCCTTGGGCATGATGGTGACGCGCTTGGCGTGGATGGCACACAGGTTGGTGTCCTCGAAGAGCCCCACCAGGTAGGCCTCGCACGCCTCCTGCAGCGCCATCACGGCCGAGCTCTGGAAGCGCAGGTCGGTCTTGAAGTCCTGCGCGATCTCGCGCACCAGGCGCTGGAACGGCAGCTTGCGGATCAGCAGCTCCGTGGACTTCTGGTAGCGATGGATCTCGCGCAGGGCCACCGTGCCGGGCCGGTAGCGGTGCGGCTTCTTCACGCCGCCCGTGGCCGGCGCGCTCTTGCGCGCCGCCTTAGTGGCCAGCTGCTTGCGCGGAGCTTTGCCGCCGGTGGACTTGCGAGCGGTCTGCTTAGTACGAGCCATGACAGATTTCCCGAAAGCAGCTAGCTGGTGGAAAAATGAAAGCCTGCCTCCCGCCCCCCCTCCCACTGGTGTATATAAAGAGTTCCGTTCTGATTGGACAAGGCATTTGTTCCTTGCGGCTCGCAGTGAAGGTATTGGTAGCGAGGTTCACTCTCCGACATCAGCCTCCCTTTGAATGGCTATTTTCAACCCTTTCTCACCTTTATCTTCCTTATGCTGTTTCTTTACAATGTTCTTTGGCTTTTCTCCGCAGAACTTAACACAAATTATTACAATGCTTAATCTTGTTTGCAGAATAAAAATTTTAAACTTTGGTACCTGAAACTGGCTTTCTTTTGATCAACTTTTTGAAAAGGCGTGTTGGATGTGATTGGCCAAGAGATTTTTATACCCTCATTCAAATGTAAGGCTAATTTTACGTCAATTTCTTGTTTTCTCTTTTTAAACTCTTAGAGATTTTTTAAAATAACAAAATACTTTCCTTTTATTTCCCCTTTTATATTACAGGTAAGTCGTGTTTTGGTAGATTATATTATATATGAATTTCATTTCAGGATAGTAAAGGGGGTAGTTACAGTATTTGTTATAGAAAAAGAGTGCTGGGTCTGATAGAATTGAGGACCATCAGTTTAGGGGTCCAGAGATCATATGAAAGCAGAACTCCAGCCCCCTGAATACATCCTCCTCTACCTTCCCCATAAGACGTAACGTGGCTTGCCCTTAAGTCTTATGATGAGCCCTTGCACTGCATTCCAAGCTATCATGCACCAGTGTCAGTTTTCTGGCTTGGGGTAAGAGCTGTGGCCACAGGAGGAGAAAGGAATCCCTACTATTAAGATGCATTGTGTTTTAAAGATATATGTAAGTTTCAGATTTTACAAAAACTAAAGAATTTACACCTATATAGCTTGTGATCTGATCATATGTCTGAGGGTTCTTTAGGGCCATATTCAAAAAGAGAGGGAGGGGAGAGAGGAAAGGAGAAAGAAATAAAACTTTTTGGAAACTATTATTATTATTATTATTTACTATTAAGGAATCTACTTGTATGACTACCATGAATCCCAGGCTGGGTTAACAGTGAAAAGTTCTGGAGGTAACTACACCCCACTCTGGACAGTCTGGTTATAACCACAGTCTTCTCTCTCTACCTCAAATGAAAGCCCAGCTGCATGAGTCCTCAATCTCTGAAGTCCTCTTCATGGAAGATGCCAAAGCCAGCTGTGTGAGAGGTTTTATCAGAGGAGAGGACGACTTTGTCCTCCCAGAAGACAAACCCTCTGCTTTCTGAGGCAGGTAGCAACCCCAAACCTGCGCAGGCCTCAATTCTTGAAGATTTTCGGAATGCACTAAAACCATTAACTCTGATTAATTTCATGCTTGCTATTATATTAACAAATGTTTACTTTTCACTAACTATAACATTCTCACATAAAAGCACCCCACTACGTTTCACAATTTCAACTGAGCTTCGTGTAAAATGGTGTTAAGAAAAACTCAAAACTTGTAAATGGTACACAAGTATGTCCCGTAAAGTCATGCTGAAGCCTTTGTTAAGCTCTGCCTAAACAAATTCTAGCTCCAGGCTATGCAGTATTGTATTCTTTTTTTTTTTGTATTGGAAACAATTTATTAGGAAAAAATATGGAAGCTTTTTTTATAACAATTTTGATAAATACAAATGTTGACAAATCAGAGTGTATAGAGAGCATATTGGTTATTTGGGAAATTGTATCATAAAATGGATGGGCTCCACAAATTCTTCAATGTACTTGAAAAAAAGAGTGCTAAGTCAGTTTGGACTGTTGTCACAAAGTACCATAAACGGGACGGGGTGGGGGCTTGTAAACAACAAAAATGTATTTCTCAGTCATAGAGGCTGGAAGTCTGAGATCTAGGTGCCGGGATCATCGCCTTCTGGAGAGGACCCTCTTCCGGGTTGCAGACTGTCAGCTTCTCATTGTGTCCGGCTGTTCGGCCACGTCCCAGTCGGGCAGCGGTAGGTCAGTGGAGCGGAGTCGGCCCGGGTCTCCTCCGCCCTGAGGAGGGGTCGACCGGCACCGCGCACGAAGCGGCCCTGGCGGGAGGGAGACCAGGGGGTCGGGGGTCTGTGGGGAGCTTGACTCGCAGTCACTTCCGAGGGGACGCTGAGCCCCCAGAGCTGGGGGCTGACTGGCCTCCGCACTCCAACGAGGGGGTGGTCAGGAAGGAGGGACGCTGTCCCTGGGGCCCAGTATTTACAATTAATTAGGGCCCAGCTCAGTAGAGTTGAGACTGGCTATTAAAAACAAGTATGAATTAGAGATCAACTTGTCCCACTAGGATGCAAAACAATTCCTTTCAACATGAGATAGTACTAAAGGAGTGGTTTAAATGATCTTGTAGGTCACCAACTAGATTTGCACCTAAACTTTCAACATTTACCAAGTATTATTCTACCATTATCTTTTTCTGAGGGTTAACAACTGAGGGCTTGCAGCACTGATGGACTTAATTACTTGTGATACAAGGTCTCTCTATATCATTTTTACTTAGCTAAAGAGTACTTTTTTGATTACTTTAAAGAGTATGATTAGTTTGCATTTCATAAGAGTGTAAATATATCTTCTAAGTTGACAAAATGTGATGAGAATCATTTTCAACAACCTGCTTAAATAAGGAAAATGTAAGCCCTTTTAATGAATACGTGGGTGGCTCTGAAAAGAGCCTTTGGTTAAGATTGATTCCTCAAAGATCAAGAATTTGAATACTGCAGTTTACTTGCCCTTGGCCTTGTGGTGACTCTCAGTCTTCTTAGGCAGCAGCACGGCCTGGATGTTGGGCAGGACGCCGCCCTGAGCGATTGTGACTTTGCCCAGCAGCTTGTTGAGCTCCTCGTCGTTGCGGATGGCCAGCTGCAGATGACGCGGAATGATACGCGTCTTCTTGTTGTCGCGCGCCGCGTTGCCCGCCAGCTCCAAGATCTCGGCCGTCAGGTACTCCAGCACCGCCGCCAGGTACACCGGCGCGCCGGCTCCGACCCGCTCGGCGTAGTTGCCTTTGCGGAGCAGGCGGTGCACTCGGCCCACAGGAAACTGGAGCCCAGCCCGAGAAGAACGGGTCTTAGCCTTGGCACGAGCCTTCCCACCTTGTTTTCCGCGTCCCGACATCTCATCAATCTAGTCAAGGTGCTTAGCGAAGAAGAAGCGAAACGAAAGTACAAATTTTCTTAACAAATGAGAAGCAATTATACTTCGAAGCCGAATCGTAAATTACACTGTTTGATTGGTTAAAAGGGTCTAAAAGCTTGCAACCAATTAAAAAGGAGACCTGCTGTCACATAATTTGCATACCACCGAACAACGTGGAAAATTTATCCAATCAAAGTGTAAAGTTTTAAATACCATATTTGCATACTAGCTCTACAAATATCCTGAGTGATGTTTCCACGACATACTTTCTTCTTTAACTTGGCGTGGTGTTCGTCATGCCTGAGCCGGCCAAGTCCGTTCCCGCCCCGAAGAAGGGCTCCAAGAAAGCGGTGACCAAAGCCCAGAAGAAAGATGGCAAGAAGCGCAAGCGCAGCCGCAAGGAGAGCTATTCTGTGTACGTGTACAAGGTCCTGAAGCAGGTCCACCCGGACACTGGCATCTCGTCCAAGGCCATGGGCATCATGAACTCTTTCGTCAATGACATCTTCGAGCGCATCGCGGGCGAGGCGTCGCGCCTGGCACATTACAACAAGCGCTCGACTATCACGTCGAGGGAGATCCAGACGGCCGTGCGCCTACTGCTGCCCGGGGAGCTGGCCAAGCACGCCGTGTCCGAGGGCACCAAGGCTGTCACCAAGTACACCAGCTCCAAGTGACCCCAAGAAAAAAGTGCTTTTCGTGGTTAGTCTCAAAGGCTCTTTTAAGAGCCACCCACTTTTTCAGCACAAGAGCTGTAATGATTCGGTTCTAATATAACTGCGATAATAGACTCAATTTTAATTTATTGAAACGGACTTGTTGCTAACACTTAAAGTACACAGCATTTTGTTTTGAAAATAAAATATGTATTTACTTTCTAGGTAAATGGTAGCATAGCCTTCTCTTGCTTTCACTGCTCACTTTGGCTACAAGGCTAGCCAAGTGTGGACGTGTAAGTATCATTTGAACTGCTGTGATGTAGTGTGCCCTACGAACTGACTCCATGAAAAGCGAAGAGGATTTAAGAAATCCTCTTAAATCCTTGGCAATGCCTTGTTAGTGCTGTGTGGTAGTAAGAAGAATATGTACATGCATTCGATTTGATTAAAGCAATATAACTTTTCTATGTATTAATGGGAGCAGCACAGTTAATGTGCATAGAAATTGAAAAACGAGTATCACCGGTTCCAGGATAGGACCATTTAATTGTAAGGAGAATTTTTCCAAGGTTTGGCTAATGAAAAGTTAGACCATTGCCGAACCCACTGGCAGTTCAGGAAAGAAATACCCTTAAAATATTTTGGTGCCTCCTCTCCCTTAAATTATGTTATTTTCTCTCAGGGTGGATGTTATGATTATTTTGCCCTAGTCAGAAAAAAAAAAAACTTTTTAAATGAAAATAATTCATACCACCACCACTCTTCTGTCCTATGTATACATATATAACAGTCATGAAAATTGACACTTTTCTCATAATCACAAACCTGCTTAAGTTTATAAACTGCCATAAATGGCATCCCATATGGAACAAATACTAAGAATGTATTTACAACATATTTTTAGGATTTCAACCCTGGTAGGAAAAAAGTACTAATAGTCTATAATCTTGTGTAATTAATGACTACCAGGCTTCCCATTCCCAACACAACACATAAATATGCACACACAACATACACCAAAAAATGCATAAACATTCAAACAATACATATAAAGAACAAAAGCAAAATTTTTTAAATGTAAAAGAATGAAAACTAAAAATAACAGATAGCTGTATTTGAGAGTTTATGTTATTGTAAATAGTCAATTTTTGCTTTCTGTAGTCCCAGAGGTAAACATCTACACCAGGTCTATATGAGCTTTAGGGGAGTATATGAAATCCAAGAAATTACATACAATAGTGTGTCCGTATGTTCGTCTTCCCACCAGAACAGAAAGTATATAGCATTCTGTCAAATTCTAAAAATACTGTCACTTACTGTGCTAGGCAGAATGATGCCTCCCCACTTACGTCTACCTTTTAATCTCTGGAGTCTGTGAATATGTTAGGATACATAACAAATGGGAATTACGGTGGCAGATGGCACTGACTTTAAATAGGATTATCCTAGGGAATTCCCTGGAGGTCCAGCGGTTAGGGCTCCGAGCTTCCACTGCAGGGGACATGGGTTCAATCCCTGTTCGGGGAATTAAGATCCCGCATGCTGTGCTTGGCGAAATAAATAAATAGGATTATCCTAGATAATCCAAGTGAACCCAATATAATTACAAGGGCCCTTAACAATGGAAGAGGGAATCAGAGTACAGAACCAGAGAGATGGCAATGTGAGAAGAATTTGGTCAGATACTGTTGGCTTTCAAATCTAGCAAAGGGCTCTGAGCCAAGGAACAAGGAAAATCCTCAGGAGCTGGAAAAGACAGGAAACAGATTTCCACCGTTAGAGGCCCAAGCCCTCTGACACCATTTTAGTTCAATGAAATTCATTTCAGAATATTGATCTAAAGAACCATAAAATTATAAATGTATTGTTGTAAGCCACTGTATTTGTGATAATTTGTCAGACCACCAATTGAAAAGGCACTCACGTTTAAGAATTATTGATTAATGTATTCAATGAGCTTTAAGATTATAACTACATATGTTTAAATTTAACAGTGTAAATATAAAAATGACTATAGATACAAGTAAATTCTTCCTAAAGTTGCAGGCTCACATAATTTTGACATTGTTTTAATTTTAACAGCGGCAATTTACATTTCCTTTTTGTTCTTCAATTTTTATTTACTTTTGGCTGCGTTGGGTCTTCGTTGCCGCGGGCTGCGCGTGGGCTTTCTCTAGTTGCGGTGATCGGGGGCTACGCTTTGTTGCGGTGCGCGGGCTTCTCATTGCGGTGGCTTCTCTTGTTGCAGAGCACGCAGGTTTCGGTAGTTGTGGCTCACGGGCTCTAGAGTTCAGGCTCAGGCTCAGTAGTTGCGGTGCACGGGCTTGGTTGCTCCATGTAGGATCTTACAGGACCGGGGCTCGAACCCGTGTCTCCTGCAGTGAGAGGCGGATTCTTAACCACTGACCACCAGGGAAGTCCCCTACGTTTCCTTTTCAGCTAGTGTGTCTAGGGTGTCTGATTTTAACAGCAGAAAGTCTAATTTCATGGAGCAGCACTTTGTTCATTCATTATAGTATTGTTACTTCTGATTATAATACTATATCAAAAAGCTTGTCTTCATTATATGTAAAGTGTAGGAGTAATGGGAAAATTTACCTCATAATGTCCATAAATAACTTCATGAATTGCAAATCAAATTGTAATGTTTGCTTTCATTGTAACTACTGCATTTGTTTACACAAAACTGTCAATGAGTTGGTTTCAGCAATATCCTTTTTTGTTTGTTTTTTGTTTTGTTTTTGGCCGTACCACGCGGCTTCTGGGATCTTTATTCCCCGACCAGGGATTGAACCAGGGGTCAAGGCAGTTGGAAGCGCGGATCCCTAACCACTGGACAGCTTGGGAACTCCTATAACATTCTCTCTTTCTCTTTTTTTTTTAAAATAAATTTATTTTATTTTATTTTTGGCTGCGTTGGGTCTTCACTGCTGCACGTGGGCTTTTCTCTGGTTGGGGCGAGGGGGACTACTCTTTGTTGCAGTGCGCAGACTTCTTATTGTGGTGGCTTCTCTTGTTGCCGAGCATGGGCTCTAGTAGTTGTGACACGCGGGCTCAGTAGTTGTGGCTCACGGGCTCTAGACAGGCTCAGTAGTTGTGGCGCACTGGCTTAGTTGCTCCGAGGCATGTGAGATCTTCCCGGACCAGGGCTCTAACCCGTGTCCTCTGCATTTGGCAGGCGGATTTCCTAACCACTGCGCCACCAGGGAAGCCCAACATTCTCATTTTTAAAGTAAGGAACAGAGGCTGTGAGAACCAAAGATTATTTACCTCACAGAACTCAAATTCCAACCAATGTCTTCTGATGCAATTTTCTTTCAAAGATGTCTAGATAGAATTCAAAAACACTTCACATGTACAGATTTCTCAGCACTTTAGGAAGTATTTTTGCATGAATTACCTCCTCTCCCAGCACTAGGCTACATCCCTTTTCTTGGTGCATTTCTTATTCATCTTTCATGATGTGTCCCGAATCAGCCAAAAAGGAAGACATGGTTAGGCTAGGAGATGAAGCTCCAGATCCCAAAGGCCTGCATGCTGCACTCCAATTCGACTCACTTCTTTTGTCTCCTGGAATACATGCTTTACCTACCTGGGAGAACTGATGGTGATAAACCCTTCTGAGATCGAGAGTAAGGAAAATGTATGATTATCAAAGTGTCTGACGCTGAAACGAAGTGAAATAAACAAAAGGTTTAAATCAAGGGAGGCTTGACACCATGCATTAGTCAGTGTCCAGTCAGGAAAAGAGAAAACTCTTGGTTATTTTTACAAAGATAATTTAATAAAAGTTACACAGGTTTTGGAAGGAAGAGCAAAACCCGAGCTGAAGTGTTTCAGAAACAACTGAAACTGGACCACATATAGGGGTCTGGGCACACAGGAGAAGGCAGAGGTACTAGAATGTCGAAGTTTGGAGCGGAGGCCGGGTGGAGGTAAGGCTCTGAATTCTGTGGGGTGGGGCATGATTCTGGGAGTGTAGGATCCATTCTGGGGAAAGGGCCGGGGGAAGCTGGGAACTGAAACCAATTCCTGGTACCAGAGTGCCAAACCACAGCTAGGATGGAAGAGTTCCCTTTCCTAATCCCACCCAGCCAGCCTCCCTTGCTTTCGTAATTGAAAATAAGGCGTGGTGGACAGAAACTCTTGGCTTTTTCAGTATAGAATATAGGAAGATTTGGGAAAGAGGTGAAACAGAAAGAGCCTGTTTTAATAAGCACAAGCGCTTCTCTATACATAGACTTATTTGCAGAAACAACTCAGCCAACTCCAGTATCTAACTGCACTTAGATAACATGCCCAAAACGGGCAACAAGAGGGCATCACAACTCTTCACATGAAAATGTAAGTGGCTCTGAAAAGAGCCTTTGTGTTAACAGCACCTATAAACATTTACTTGGAGCTGG